TTTTTTCAAATCAAAATAGTGCAAAAGCACATGTCGAAAAAACACTTTATCGCGTTCCATTTTTCACAAAGCAAAAGAAATTGTTGTTTAGGAAAATAATTGTGTATGCTGACTGAATGTTATCGAGAAATGTCGAAATTAATCACAAACTACCTGTTTCGTTAGTAATGACTACTAGAACTGTTTGCATTGCCATCTAACATTTGCGGGCGGAAACTAAGTTAAGGTCCTAATAATATTTGAGCGGATGTCGTATAGAAGAACGTAAGCAAATTGACCTGTTGCAGTCAAGGATTCACTTTACGGCTAAAAAAAATCGATTGTGAATTTTTCGATTGTGTCAATTTTCTTATTACTTAAGTTTCACTGTTCACGTCTTTCTATGCGCAATCCGTTTCAACAGTTACATATGGCGCGTTAAGCTTCAAATGTTTTTCTCGTCATTATAATCGTTAATATATAAGCATTCAAGAAGTTAGATATCTTGAGCGGTGACAACATTAGGTATAGGGAAAGGTCGGATAGTAGCGGACAGCGGTTAACATCGGACAAAAGTTGTTTTAAGTATTTGCCGCTGAAGGCAGCACCTGTGAAACAATCGGCGTGTTGACTAAAAGAGTTAACTACGCCCGTCCTTCAGTCAACACGCCAATTGTTTCACAGGTGCTGCCTTCAGCGGCAAATGCTTGAAACAACTTTTGTCCGATATTAACCGCTGTCCGCTACTATCCGATCTTCCCCTACCTTGAACGATTTTCTCGATCTTCCTCGATTGATCTCGCTCTATTTAATTTAAATTTAATTTTTTTATCATTTCTGGAGATCATATCATCGAAAATACAGATAACAACTTATTTAACATTTAATTAAATATAGGAGATTTATTTTGACATAATTTCCACCGAGAGAAAATTTCGAGGCGGAGTAACAAGCGACACATATACATTACTCCGCCTCGAAATCAGCTGTTTATTCAGTTGCTAAGAGGTAAGCTATTTCTTTTACATACAGAGTCAGTCTTACCGCTTCTCGTGAACTCATTCGTTTATACATTTTAATTAATTACGGAATAAATATTGAGAAAATTTCAAAATGGTATATAACTTTTATGATTATTTTGACCCGTTCTACCTGTACACGACGGTTGCTCGATCAGTTACCGGACACCCTATATATATATATATATATATATATATATATATATATATATA